TGGCAGTCTGCCTGCCAATGCAGGGGACGCGGGTTCGTGCCCCGGTCTGGGAAGATCCCACATGCCGCGGAGCGGCTGGGCCCGTGAGCCATGGCCGCTGAGCCTGCGCGTCCGGAGCCTGTGCTCCGCAACGGGAGAGGCCACAACAGTGAGAGGCCCGCGTACCGCAAAAAAAAAAAAAAAAAAAAAAAATCTTGGGAATTCCCTGGTGGTCCTGTGGTTAGGACTCCACACTTTCACTGCCAAGGGTGCAGGTTCAGTCCCTGGTGGAGGAACTAAGATCCCTTCGTAAGCCATGAGGTGCGGCCAAAGAAAAGAAAAATGAAAAAAAAAAATCTATCCCAAGAAAATAATTACAACTGTGAACAAAAGTTTATGTAGAGGGGTGGGGAGGAGGAGGAATTGGATGAGGGCAGCTAAAAGGTACACACTTCCACTTATAAATAAGTACTAGGGATGTAATGTACAGCATGATAAATATAATTAACACTGGCGTATGTTATATATGAAAATTAAGACAGTAAATCCTAAGAGTTCTCATCACAAGAAAAAGAATTTCTTTCTGTTTAATTTTGTATCCAGGAGAGATGATGGATGTTCACTAAACTTACTGTGATTATCATTTCATGATGTATGGAAGTCAAATCATTATGCTGTACACCTTAAACTTATAGAGTGCCGTATGTCAGTTATATCAATAAAACTGGAAGAAAAAAGTTTATGTACAGGGTATTTATTGCAATGTTATTTCTAATGATGAAAAGGCAGAAACACCCTAAATGCGCAACCCCGTCCTGGTACTTGCTCCATGTACTGCAACAAATGCTAGGTAGCATTGGGTAGATTCCCAAAACGGCCACATCTTTCTATGCGCCCTGGGCAATATGACTTTGCTGCAATTTCTATTAGGAAGTGGAGTCTGTTTCCTCATCCTTGAATACTGGTTGGCTTTGTGACTTGCTTTGGCCCACAGAATGTAGCAGAAAGGGGGATGCGACTGTTGCTGCATATTTCCATCGTCCTGGAACCCTACCGCCACCATGGCAGTAAGGCCAGGATGGCCTGCTAAAGGATGATAGCCACGTGGTCCAAACAACCAGCCAGTCAACCACGAGACAAGTGGATGAGGTCATCGTAGATCAGGCGGCCCTCAGCCGAGCTGCTGGCTGATGGGAGATGCGTGAATGAGTCCAACCCAAATCATCTGAGCCTGGTCCAGATCATAGAACCATCCAGATGACCCATAGACTTGTAAACAATAAAAAATAAATACATATTGTTTTATGCCACTAAGTTTTGGGGTAGTTGTTATGCGGCAAAAGCTATCTGATACACAGATGACATTGCCTGACACTCCTTCTCACAGCTAGTTGTGAGTCCATACTAGTTTGGCGCCTTGGCCTCTCCTGACTGCCCGTGTTGTTTAAAGCCCTGTATTCCAACTTTTGAACAAATACGTTCACCTGTCTTTCACACTCCTTTGGGGCAGGGATCGTGTCCAATTTATTTCATTCTTCCTAGGAGACAATCACAGACCAAGGGCTCCGAACATGTTTGTGAATGAGCACATTACAAATGTGATCAACATCATCATTTACAAAATGCAGCCACAGCTATTCCTTTAAACTCCACAAACATGTTTTGAAGAGTCCTCTATGTGCCCAGGCTGGGGACAGGCACTGAGAATACAAGGATGGGGCTGTATTCCCACTGAGATGATTCCAGGGCAGGTTGGCGAGAGGCAAGCACAATCTTCACGTTGATTCTCATGATCCTATGAGGCGGCTGGAGCAGGAGTGATGATCATTATTAACATACAACGATGCCTAATCCATTACAAAATAATATTACCAGCCAGCATCTATTGGAGGCATACTCTGCCCCATTTCTAAGCATGGTACAGAGAATAAATTATGTAATGTCTACAATAACCTGTGAGGTAGGTGCTATTAACCTTCCCATTTCAAAGAAGAGGAAACAGGCATGAAGACATCTGGTCACCTGGCCGGGTCCTGGCTTTTATCCTTGGGTCCCCAGAGATTCGATGGTTGGAAGCCTTGGCCCAGCAGCTGAGCAGCAGAGGGACCTCGTCTCAGATATCCTGGGTTCCTGAAAGCCTGGGCATTTCTTGCCAGGAATGGAGCAGAAAAGTAGCTCCTCCCCGGGACACAAGTGCCGCATCAGGGGATAAGATGCTCCGCAGGGGCTCTCTCTTCTGGTGAAAGCTGTCAGAAACCCTCTGTTCTGATCCCCAAAGGGAGCCTGCCTGATCCCCTCAGGAACAAGTGACAGGAGTTTATTAAATGCCCTTGAGAGAGAGATGTGGTTAACATGTGTTTTAAACCCAAATTAGTTCCAAATCAGAAGAACTGTTAGAGGCAAAATGGTAAAAAAAAAAAAAATCAGAAGCCCTGCCCCATCCCTCCTTCAACAATGTCTCTCTGAATGTGTTTAAATTCATCAAATGCAAAGTGATGAATGACAGCAAGCTGCCTTTATGTTCAGAGGAAAGATATACACAGCTGCTTATTGAAATTATGAATCAATCTATTACCCAGCAGGCACGTGAGCGGCGCTAAGAACATTAATTAACTGACCGTATCTGTGACCCAGATGTTTAAAGAGTGAAGCTAAGTGGCACTGGGAGTTAGAAGCTCTCCTTTCTGAAGTCTTTTAGGACATGAAAACAATAAGACCCAGACTTCCGGGACCTGCAAAAGGCCATATATCCAGCCCCAGGTGAGGAGGGCCCTGCAGGATTTCTTTTCTGGGGGAAGGTGGTTTCTCACACCAGGAACCCGTACAAGGAGGCCACATGCATGGGCTCTGCTGGCCTGGCCAAGGGGCCAGGGTCAGGGGAAAGGTGGTGAGTGCTGAGACCTGACATCCACCAGGTCCCCCAGTTTCCCCAGTCCTGGATTGAGAGCCCATCTAGTCCAGCCCCACCACACCCCACTCCCTAGTACTCCTTCTGTAAGGACCTCCGCTTCCCATCCTCTGCATGTCCAACTGGCTTTCCTGCCTCCAGGGCTTTGCTTCAGCTGTTTCCCTCCCTGGAAATGTTAGTTACTGGGCTCCTTCTAGAACTTTCTGGCTTCAACTCTCCTAGAGCTCAACGCAATTCTCTCCATTCCACAATGTCTCCTTTCATTCTTCCAGCCCCCAGTTACCTCCTCTCCAGTCTTTGGGATGACATGGATCCATATTCTCTGGTGCCTCCCTTCAAGGCATGGAAGAGTCCCATCTCCTCTGGACCATCCTGTGTGCCCATTCACCAGGGGATGGACGTTTGGACTGTTTCCACTTTGGGGTTATTATAAATTATGCTGTTATGAACAGTCCTGTATAAGTTTTTATGTGAACGTCAATTCTCTTGTTTACACGGTTGACCCTTGAACAACACAGGTTTGAACAAGGCAGGTCCACTTACACATGGATTTTTTTCAAGAAATATGTACTACATGATTCTCCGTTGGTTCAATCTGCAGATTCAGAAGCACAGATAAGAAGGGCCAATTTCTCATATATTTCCCCCTAACATCCCAGCTAAGACTCTTCTGGGAACTGAACTGCTGCACTAGGCTTGTAAACTGGTCCCCCTTCCAGCCCTTCACAATTTCCATTTGGCCTTCCCAATGTTGCAAATTCAGATTCTATCATTCCCCGCCTCAACCTTCAATGGCTCCCAATGCCCACGGATTTATGAATAAACTTGTAACCATGATCTTCTACTATAGTTCCCCAACTCACCTTTTGTTTTAACTCTTTGATTCTCGGCTTAGTCTGACAGATGACTTGCAGTTTCTTAAAAAGAGCCAACAGTCTTTCCTGAATAAATTATAGCCCCACCCTCCCCCTCCCCCATCTCGCTTCGTTCCACAAAGCCACCCCACCATGTGATCTATTTCAGCTTACATACTTGTGTAATATTAACATGTGTTTCCCTGTTACAGATTTTTGTCATTGTTGTTTTAGTACCGCAGCATCCTACCCATTGTTATATAGCACAAGGACCAAGAA